TTAATATATATATATATGTATCTTTATTTGATTCAATATACATGAATCTGTTATAATGATTAACTAAAAAGTCAATTCTGAAGGACCTATTGTCTTTTTTGTACCAATAAAAAATAAATCCTCAGAAGTAATGTGTCTAATGACTCGGTAAATTAAACAAAAGAACTAAATATAAATAAATTTAATTAACAATTTCTGAAAAATGGAAAATGGTTTTTAATCTTATTGCAATGAGTAGAATTATCTTGGTTTCGTTCTTTTTTCACAACATTTTTATACGTTTTGACACAGTGTTTTGCATTATTTAAATTAAATATTACGCTTAACAAATCAACAAGTTCTTTGTACAATAGAAATTTGAGGTAGCAATTTGTATAAAATAAATGCATAATTTAAATTGGATGCTTACACATATTAAAGCTTTGAATGTGCTACGTTTTAATTTCATTATATGAAGAAAAAAAGTGAGGAGTTAAAAAATATTTCTTTATCAAAAATTATTTTTATAGCTAATGAGTACTTAAAATATTATATTAAAAATTCATTATGCTGAGATGTTTACACAAAAGAATATTTCTAAATAATGCAACATCTTTTTTAAAAAATATACTCCAAATCCTTTCTAAAAATATTTCAAAAACAATCTATATTTTTTGTTAATATTTTGGATAGGATTTATTTATTTAATAATCGTCAATTGATAGCATATTCCCGAAGATCTATATAAATGACAATAAGTATCAGATCTATGTATGTATTTCGTATCTATATAAATATTTTTGATAATCTAAAGATATTTTATTAAGGCTCAAAGGGACTGTTTAAGTAGATGATAACATTCTAAAGGAATGAGTCGAAATTGGTTTCAAATTTAATACGATTATTAAATTATTGCTGTAAGCAAATTGTTGCCCCAAAAGTGTAACTAGGCACAATTTTCAATGTACATCTCTAACCAGTGAGGTTGAACTAGATTAGTTGTCCTCTAACAATCCACAAATTGTTTGAGTCTTCTGATTGTTTATGGCAAAAACATATTTTCCCTGTTTATGGTAGTTGATATTAGCAGTCAATTGATGCCTAATTAAAAGTCAGGACATTGATGCATAATTAAGAAGTAAAATATGTTCAATTGACAATAGTTTAGATCTCTCTGTATAAAGGAAAACGTTCATTAACAAAAATTAGAAAAAGATCCCGGAAAAGTATTTACAGAATGGTTTGTGTAAAAATTGTGTTCTTACTTTTCATTTAAAATATTCGTTTTTGGAGAAATTTAAGTAGCAAAGACGCTTTTTTGGTCAATTACTTAACAGTTATAGATTTTTTGAGTTGAGCAATACTTAAAAAATTCCTTTCAATCTATTATTTATAAAAATAAAAGTTTATAAAAATGCAGGATTTTCTTACATTTGTTAACTTCTTACGAGAATGTCTTTATACTCATTGTCGCACGTTAGATGAAACTGCAATATTTTTTAAATATATCTCTGGCTCACCAAATTCTTACTTAATCGCGACAAATGTAGAAGTCCGTATAACCTGCTTACCCCCCCCCCAAACTCATTTGTTGTATAATACCCATATCTAAAAAGAATTCTACGCCACAAGCCAAAGAAAAGGTGATCTAAAAACTAAACAAACTGCTTTTTTCTTCCTGTTTCGTGCCCTATATATAGTTATAATGCAATTCGGGAGAAAAACTACTTCGAAGCTTATCCAGTAGCTTGTAACAGGCAAACAACAACAAAAATTCGAATAACAGGAAAAACGTTTCTTGCTGCATTATTCAAAAACCTTCAGAGTAAACATGCAACCTTATACTTCAGGGTTTCTTGAAATACATTATTCAGAATGTTTTTTCTGGAAGCTCACTGCAGACGAGAATTTCTCTTCTATTGCCGTGATTGAGTATTTTATGCGGAGTTGTAAATATCGAACGTGACGCCTTTAACGTATGCTCACTGATAGATCACCTCTCCTCATGAGTTATGCTCGTTCGTCCAGGACGCCAATGGTTATCTGCAAATGACATTCCTAGGTGTTTTCTTCACTGCCTACCTCTTGGCGGCATTGCGTTTTTTCTGCACTGTCTTGACAGTTGGCGCGCTTTTTATTTCTTATTAGAAAAGAATGCACACGATGTCGAACTCCGTTTCGTTTAAATTTCTGAATATGCGCGACGTGCTTATTTATTTATTTATTTATTTATTTTTATTTTTATTTTTTGCAGCAAGTAAAACAGTGGATAACTCTCGAACTAACAATTGAATTTAANTTTATTTATTTATTTATTAAAAAACTAATACGCACCTTGTCCTGCCCTATCGAAAAAGTTCTTAAGCTTATTCTGCAATTAAACAATGCTTAAATAGTCTGTAAACAGGAAATATGAAATGAAATTGTCATTATAAAGACATAATATATTTTCTACCAATGAAAAACTAAATGTCATAAGGCTAAAATTATTAAAAACTACTTTTCATTTAATCCTTTTCTCAATATATAAAAATTAAAAATATATTTCGTAATCTTTTTTTTTCAATAGCCTTGATTTGAGTTCAGAATTAATTCTATTATCAGAGATTCCCTCTACGTCTGCCTAACACATTATCATAGAATTTGAAAAACGTTACAGGGTTGCTAAATGTTTTATATTAATAAAGTTCGCGCACTTTCTTCTATGCCAATACATTTGAATGCATAAATCTTGGAAAAGGAGCCTTGGCAATAAATTAAAGCAATTAATAGCCAACGCATGAAATCCTTTACTTTTTTTGGTGAAACATATTCTAACATCTATATATGTCACTTAATTTTTTGATTTCTTGATAGACGGAGATGTCTTGTGAAACTCAGCACTGCAGCCACACCCTCCGGGTCATTTTCAAACTTATTTATTTAGTAATTTATATGTATATTAAATATAAAGAATAATTTTTATTTTGATAGAGCTCCATATTTGGAAAAATAAAAGAATTTTATTATTTATCGAATTTTATTCTTCATAATAGCAGTTTACGATTTTATATATAGATAGAATTGTTGTCTATATAGCTCTGGAATAGAAAAGTGAACAATTGAAAACTAATCATTAACATCTTCAACGAAAATTTCCCTGATAATCATTAAGGGATCCGAAATTTGAACTGCTCTCGTGACCTAACTACTGGGTGGATATTTCTCAGAATACGGCCGGACCTTATATTTTGAAAGTCAGAAATTGAAATCCGTCAAAAAAGATATGTTTATTCAAAGAAAGGTTTTGAGCCCGATTTCGTAACTTAAAACATCACCTGCACCTAATAATTAACATATTTAAGGTCACCTCCTCGAACTACCAATATGATTCTTAGTACACGATAGATTAGATCAAAAGTTATTCAATGTTTTTTTTCTTCTTTTTTTTGCGCATTGTACATGTGACTGGTATAAACCTTCTTAAAAATAAACCGACTTTATCAAACTTCGAAACACGGCAGTATGTCGAAAAGATATCTTGGAAATTTAATCCAAAATTTAGGAAAGATATCCTAGTTCGTGATGGTACCAAAATTTTATAAATACGTTAGCTCTAATTCTAATTATCTTGGATCATGTTATTCACATACAGTTCAATGATTAAAAAATTTATGATAAAAAGTGTGTAAAACGTAACGAAGTATCCATTTGTTGTAAATAATTTAAAATAATACACTTCAATGACAAACTAAAAACTTACCAAAGGAGATTTTTTCAAATACCATGCATGCCAGCAATAAAATCAATTGAAGTCTTCTTCTTCACGCGTTTTTTTTTTTTTTTTTTTTTTTTTTTTTTTTTTTTTTTTTTTTTTTTTTTTTTTTTTTTTTNTTTTTTTTTTTTTTGAAGTCTACTACCTCCTTCGGTTTTACACTGTAAAAAAATTCTGGATCAAATTACAGTAAAAAGTACCGGCACTCTGGATGCCTGTAATTTTTACCTTGAAATCCATTTTTACCGGAATACGTTACGGAACAACTAATCTGACATACCTTAATAGGTTCAGTAGTAATTCCCGTAAAATCACTGAATCATTCTGATTAAAGAAATATTTCTGTAAAAATTATATTATATTTTACAGTAAAAACTAATTTTATGGTAAAATTGATTTTACGGATGATACACCCAAAGTACCGGTACTTTATACCGTAATTTGATCCGGAATTTTTACTGTAATAATTACCATAAAATCACTGAATCACTCTAGATTAATGAATATTACTGTAAAAATCACGGTTTATATTTGATAGCAAACATTTATTTTACTGTAAAATGGATTTCATGGATGATGCCGGTACTTTATTTAATTTGATCTGGTATTTCTTACAGCGCAATAAAGATTTCGCATGTTAGGGAATTATTGCATATTAGGCATCTTTCCTCTACTTCAAAATGAGATTATTAAATCGGAAGATTGTTAGGTGTTACATTTTTTATTTTTCTCACTGCAAACCATTAAATAGAATCCTTTCCTTTTTTTAGGACTTCTCCAAACACTTGGACTTCTGCTATATCCTCTAATACTGGATACATATGTTGGAAGACTTCATTGTGGTAACAAAGCACATGCATACGGATTAGACTTTTGCCGAATCGGCTGGGCCTATGTAGCATCCGCAGCTGGGACTCTTCTCACTTTCTACTGTCCTTTCTTGGCTTACTTCAGTTTCTACAAAGTGTACAAAAGCTACAACTCCATACACTCGGAGCCAGATGAAGCACATCTCAATCCAAACTTTATGTTTTAATGTGTCTAAAGACTTTCCTCTTTTTGTGGGACCATTTTGATGCAAAATCATAGAGTAGGTTAAAATAATTTTCATCACAACTCATTCAAATCAATGTGTGTGTCTAATCCTCTTTACGACATATTATGTATCTTAATTCATGTATCACCTCACTTATGTTCTACTCTGTAATATTTCACGAATTTCTCCAATCGCATCATTTAAGTGTAACAGTCATGGAACGAACATATAATAAACAAGAATAAAAGTCATTGAAAATTATTAAATTAAGCTTTGCGGCTCGTTATTTAATTTTTTATCACTACTATAAAAGGAAACCTTTTTCAGTTTACATCTCACAAAATCGTTGCAAGTTAATTAAAAAATTACCATTTATTTGCCATAAAATGTCTTAAGAAATTCAATTATATTGTTACATATAATCTGTCCTGAAAAATAATATAAAATATAAATTTTTCGATATTAAAAATTATTAAACTTTTAAGATTATCTTAGACTAATATTTTAAGATTTTATACATCATTTCATCTCTGTATACATGTTGTGAAAAGTGTTCTTTTATTTGTAGCATTTTTTCACAAAACATCGCTCATGTTATTCATTTAGTTGATAATATATTTTTTCTTTATCAGGTATTTAAATGTTTTTATTTTTGAAAATTTAATGTTGCTTTTCTGATGTTTAAATATTTAGAAAACAGTGTTGTTTTCTATTAGAGGATACTCTTTTAATAAAGCTTTTATAAAAATATTTAAATAAAACAGAAAATTTCTCTAATATTCAATAAAAAAATTCTAAATATATTGCTAAAAGAAATTTAAATTAAATGATTTTTTCCTGATTGCACCTGGTATTATGATCCTTTTACAAATAAAATAACTAAACAAAAGAAAATGTATTACCATTTATTTGATGATATTGTAACGCCAAAATGCTAATAACTTTAGAATCAAGAAGGAGACAGTGTTGGAAAAATTTGAAACTATCCTTATTTCAAAAATGTAACTTATTGAAGTTTTCAACAATGGGCCACAAGCCTTCGTTCTTTTATTTATTCTATTCCCACCGAAGCGATTGCTTAAGAGAGACCAAACATTTGCGTACAACGATTGTGTGCAGAGCAAACGAACACTTGCTCACACTGTCGTTTTCCTTGCTTAAAAATCTCCAAAATAGCAGATCTTTTGCTTGAAACTGTAAAAGACTCAAAAAGAAATACGTAGACTAAGAAATATATAGTAAAATATTTTATAATTAAAATGGTTGACAAAAGAAAGCAGAAATTAAAAGGAAATTAATTAATTTCTATTCTATGGTACAATAGCTTTTTTGCCTCACACTGTAAAAAGTATTTAAACTACAACGTTATGTTATATTAAGATTTTTATCTAACTTTTTACCTGAAAACTAAAATTTTGTTTTAATTCAGTTACCAGGGAAAAAAAAATTAAAATAAATATCCCGTAAATAAAAGCGCCGACGTAGAAATGAAAAAAAACTAAGAAAAAGCAAATTTTTTGAAGAAATATTATTTCATACTAAATCGCTTTTATCGAAGAAATATTTAAAAGCAGAAATGAAGTTAGTTTTAGTAACCAAAATAAGAAAACTCACGAAAAGTAATGAACTAATATGATCTCAAAAATATAGCTGCTAATAAAAAAATAAATACCAATAAAAATACAAATAATACGTCTTCATATTTTCGCAACGTCAATTTATAAATCTTAAATGTAAAAAAAAATTTATTCAAATTTATTGTTTATTTCAAAAGCAAAATAAGAAAATGTATGAAAAATTTTATTCCCGTCTTGCAAATGATGTCATAAACAAATAAAACAAATCATTATGGAAAATAACATTTATATTTTCTTCATCGTTAATTTATAATAAACCACTTATATTGAAATGTTTTGAAGACAAAATTTTCTTTATCTTTGTAGCAAGAAGAAAAATTATATGCAAACGCTTAAAAAAATCGTATACCACATTAACGAAAATAAAAATTTCCTCGACGAAATAAGAAGTATACAGTCTATAATTTTTCAAGAAATCTAACTCTTTACAAAAATATAGAAAAGCAATAAAATTGCTTAGTTATTTGCTATAAATTTAGCTTTGTTTTATTTTTTCAGTTGCATTCAAATTGAAATTTCAGTCAGAATAACTAGGGAAGCGTACTAAGAAATAAAATATTAATTACTCACAAAGTAACTGAAAATCTCAATATAAACAGAAATGTAATCAATTTTTCAAATTTCAAACAGAAACTAATTAACCAATTATCGTCCATTAATTTATAAATATTTTTTTAATCTTGCGACGGAAACTGAAGTGGTCGAACAAATGCTCCGTGACAGATGCAACAATTAATTTTTTTCTGCTCAATTCAAATTAAATAAAATACACCTTTTGGCGGAAGAGTTTTACATCATTTTTTTCTGTTCATAATTTTGCGCATTTTTATTTTTAAAAAGATAAAGTATAGAGTCAAAGCGTTATTAGTACTCTTTAACTAATTAGTAAGCAATTTCTCTAGTACTCTTTTTGAAAGAAAATGAAAATCTGAATAATTATTTATTATTCGTGGTTTTAATACCTTTGTTATGCTCATAAATGATTCAAATACAGATAATATCTTATGTAAAGTATATTTTGTTGAGAACTTGGGAATTAGCATTAAGAATCAACTTAAACTTTTTATCCATATTTTTAATAGTTAATTTTTTAAATTTTTTGACTTCATCTTAAAATGATTCATTATCATTACGAATTAAAAACAATTTTAACTTCTGGGAAATGCGAGGCTTTTTATTTCAAATGAAAGCAAGTGATGTTTTAAATTAACTTTAAGATGTACTTATGCCACAGCATTTTTTTTTCTGTCATGATAACAAGTGTTTTTTTTCATTTATTTATTTCAAATGCATTTCTAAGTGTATGAAAAAACCCAGTCTCTGAAATATTAAAAATTCATGCACATAAGAAATTTCCTTGTTTTAAAAATTCTACATAGTTTCTAATTAAAAATTCTAATTAGTTAGAATTAGCTTCTATTTAGAGTTTTTAATTAGAATGTCTAACTACAGTTTGTAATTAGAATTTATAATAAATACGCTTCGAATTAAAGTCTCTAACCACAGCGTCCATTAGAATTTCTAATTATTGATTAGAACTTCGAATTATTAATTAGAATTTCTAATTATTAATTAGAAATGCCGCTAAAATAAAAAGAAATATTTTATTATTGTATTTTAATTACTAATCGCATTTACTGCCTCTATTAGAAATTCTAGAAGGTGAAATTAGGCCGGGATAGTCTGGTCGGTGGGGAGCTGGTCCCATGTCCGAGAGTTCGTGGGTTCGAACCCCGCCGGCTGCAGACTCCCCGTGTAGTAAAGTGACTGATGCACGTTAAATCTGTCGAGTCGCAAAAGTCCTCCATGTTCCCATAACAAATCAATACCTCTGGGGGTACTGGATCATATCGATCGATCGTTCTCTGATTTAGGTCAAAACTACGATCTGTGAATGAATGAATGGATGTATGAATGGGTCCGCCCTATAAACGGGTGTGACGTATGGTGTGGTAAAAGTCAAATTCTTAGCCATAGATGGCGCCACTGGAAAAACAAGAACAATCGCACCCCCTCTGCCTAAACAGGCATACGTCAAGAACAACAACAGAAGGAGAAATTAACTAACCATGCATATTTTGAGACCTAAATAAATAAATCGTGCAATAGATATGTCTAAGACAGAGGCTGAACTAGGTCAGTGTTCGACTATCATTCAATCAATTTCACTATTCCTATTGAACGATTCATACTTTTATCGCAATAGAAACGTATACATATTGCTTGAATCTGTAACCGATTGATCATTGATGGATCTTCAATGGACATGTAAATGAAGTGATAAACAGCAGCTTAGACATATTTTTGTTGGACTAAGAACAGAGAAAATGTGTATTAGCAACCAAATATATTCGTTAACATAAGCGTGCAAGAAAGATATCGGATAGCAAAATAGAAAGGGTGTTTATAAAATAAAATTACACTTTACATTCGATTAAAAAAACCCTCTTTAAAGAAAAAATTTTTGTGAAAAATTAAAATTTGATCACCTTAAGTACATTATTATGGAATGTTCTTCATTTTTTAATACTTTTTTTGCATTTGACATTCCTGAATGCAGCGCTTCAATTTAAGTACTGAAACAAAATTTTTTTATAATAAAATAAGTAACAAACTAACGTTAAATATAACCTTATGTTTATTCTTATTCTAGGTCTTGCTTTATTGCAAAAAATATGTAAAAAAAAAATTTTTTTTGCTTTATTGAAAAAAAAATATGTTTTAAAAAAATTTTGCCTAAAAATATTTGGGACTAGCCAATACAGTTTCGGAAGCCCACAGAAACATTCTTTTTTAAATAAAAAAAAATTTCTGAGAAAAGCACGTTTTGTTCAAAAGTTGTCTCAGTTACTTAAAAGGATTCGCAAGAATTAATTAATTCCTTAAAAGTTTTAACCTTGCATTTAAATCAAGCAACAAAATAACATCAGTTAAACAAAAATCACCGAAACAAAATTAATTTTCGAAAACATTTTTATAATACTTTCTATTCATTGAAATTAAGTCATTTTTCTACTTGAATCTCTTTAAACTTCAGATTTAATATCTCATTCATAGTTCTAGCTTTTACTTTGCTCATATTTATGCAAATGACTTTAAAATAATTTAATCCAATATCTTAAAATAGAGCCATTTATATGCGTATTCATTAATTTTAAAAGTGGAATGAATAAACCTACTTCTGTTACTGACGTTGAGTTCCAACAATAATTTATACTTCAGAAATTCCAGCGTTCAAAAAAATATAATATTGAATAGGAGAAGAGGATAACAAAAGTCCCCATCTAAAATATTTTTCTTAAAAATTCTTACCATTAATGAAACAAAAGCTTTTTATTGATTTTATACTTAATATTGTTTTTGTAAACGAAGTTTTAATGTTCTCCGATAGGAAGAGCTGGAATTTTTTTAGATTGAATTGAAAACAATAAGAACCTATAAAAATATAATTCAGAACCCATTATTAATCATTTTACCGTCAAAATCGTAACAATGTTTTAAAGATATAAAGTGCTTAAAATCATTTTAGCACTCTATCTTCCATAACTTATTGGAATTATGAATTAAGACGATTTTTATTTCTTAAATAAAATATAGGATTTAT